GAGGCTGAGGCAGGAGGATTACAAGTCTAAGCCTGGCCTGGGTAACTTAATGACTTAGTGAGACCCTGTCAAATAAATGGATGGATGGATGGATGGACAGACAGACAGACAAATGAACAAATAAACATCGGTTTTAGAGTGAGTGAGGTTAGGATCAAATACAGGCTCTACTACTCACCTGTTGTCTGACCCTGAGCAAGCTCTCTCCTCTCTACACCTCTGGAGTAGGCAGAAATCTAAGGCTGGTCCCCAAAGTCCCCATCTTCTAGTGGACATAGCCTGTGTAATCCTCTGTCCTTGAACACAGATGGAACCTGAGAACAGAGTTGGATATCACCTGCAACATGATTAGGTTCCTGATCATGGGCTTTGAGGTCAACAAAAGAGAGTTTAGCTGTGTGGCCTAATTTAATCTGGTGAGCCCTCAGAAGGAATTCATCAAGGATTTGATGTAGAATTCTCCACTGTTGGCTTTGCAGATGGAAGGGACCTAGGAGGGCAGCACCCCCGTCCAACAGCCTGCCAGGACATGTACCTCCTGGCAACCACCTGGCACCGGATTCTTGCAGTAGCCTACACAAGTGGGGGAGAAGACTGTGGGCCCCACCTCACACCTTGATTTCTGTCTCATGCGCCCCAACTTCTGCTCTACAGAGCCATGAGGGAAAGAACGGGGGTTGTTTAAGCTACTAAATTAGTAATTGGTTACTCGGCAGTGGAAAAGTAACGGTGGTATGCACCCTGCTTGGAATTCAGTTGCAAACAGAATCATGGAACAAATTCTATGACCAGAGTCACAGAAAGAATTAAATTCCTGAGCCTAGGTTCCATGTACGCTCTACTTCCTCATCTGCAGAGGGAGAATGAAGCGGGAATTACAGTCACCTCTGGCTGCTTTGGAAAGGACCATTTGGAGAAAACAGTCTACAGAGCTTGGTATAATGTAAGCGCGCGCTAGGAGCCAGGCAGCTGGGACGAACAGCTGCGGTTCCCGTTCTCACAGGTGCCACTACAAAACGGACGCAGCATAGAGAAGGCGCGGGACCCAGCGTGAGAGGACAACGTCCTACTCCTGAACCCTGCACTTGGAGCGACACCACCAACTTACAGCTGCGTGGCCCAAGTCTGGGAAAATCACAGTACTACCCTGGGATTTCCTAGGTGGACTCTGAAAGCACAAACTTCTCCCTTTCCTCTGGAGCTGCGTAGCCATCCCGTCCTTCCCAAAACAGCCCACATGCAGTAGGAAACGATGAGAAAAACCCAGAGAGTGACAACGCTGGGAGGGGAATACCCCTCGACACCGCTGTGCCAGAAGCTACCTCGGTTCACCTTCGTCATGTGAGCTATCCATTCCCCCTTTGCACTTCAGCTACTTTTAACTGAATTTCTATCACTTGTAACCAAGTGTCCTGAGTAATACACTAGGCCTCCTTTTCCTCCTTTTCCTCATCTAAGAATTAAAGGGTTGGGGCTACTTCTACGAAGTCCCAGAACTTAAAAATGTCTTCCCAAATGGCCTTGGCAAAAGTAAAGACCAGGAATGAGAGGAGACAGAAAGTCTCTGAAAGTTGGTCAGTGGTTAATTAAACCTCAGCTCTTGTGCCTAAAACAATGCTTTGCACGCAGTGGAGCCCTGCTAAGCATTAACGGTAGCAGCTGTGCTCTTGAGAGCTCTGCAGTTCCAGTGTGAGCTCCTCGCCCCCACCGCCCCCAGGAGGAGCTGTACAAAACGTTTTCACCAGGAAGGGTGGAAATTCTAAGCTCGGCATTTCCCCAGCCAGATGGGGACCAGATGTGCAGTGTGTACCTGACAGAAGACCACCTGGGAGCAAGATACTCCCCCAGCCAGGTCCACCTCCCCGGCCTTCCCATCCCTCCCTTTCTGTTCTGGCTTTGCTGTGGTTTAAATGTTTCCACCAAGATCCCCCCAACCCAAACCACCCTCTCAGCTTCTCTCCATGAAGGTATCTGTAGCACATGGGGACTGGGGAGAGACAGGCACAGGGCCACCCCTACCCTGGGGGATGGGGGTTCCTGGAAGGTCGGAAACCCCCAACGCCTTTGCCTCCTTGGTTCTGCAAGAGAAGAGGGGCCCACGTGCAAACTGCAGTATCAGTGACAACCTGGAAAGGGCCACAGCACATGGGAAGCAGAGAGGCCGGGAAAGCCGCGCGTCACCAGCCCTTCCACACCTCTGCACATGCACACGCTCCAGCAGGTAAGGGAGCACTGCGAGGGCAACCCCGAAAGCATTGAGGACCAGCTCAGGTCTGCAGGGAACATTCCCAGGGAGGTGAGGAGGGGGTTACAACACCACTCTCTCCAGAGGACTTGCCTACAATCACTCTGAAATCTCCTCTCTTTTCCCGAGCCAGCTCCTGCGCACCTCCCTGATGTGCCCACACCCCCCATCCCTGTTCACTTCTCGTCTGCAGGAACGTGGCTCCTCTCTTGCCTTTTCCGATCCACTCATCATCCCGTCCCCAGGCCCGGAGCCCTCCGGATCCGCACATGCTCTGCACACAGGGTCCTTTTTCTTTGCAAAGTAAGGAGGAATGGAATTGTAAGTGCTTATAATGCTTTTCTCGGCGGCCACGTATATAAATACGGAAATTTTCCTAGCACAGAGATTCTAAAACCTTCCAAATAAAGAAAAAACAAAGTGTTCAGGGAGTACCTCGCCCTAGTACAGCATGCCCAGCTCCGTCCCACGGACCCAAGAGTCAGATTTCGTTAGGGAAAACGTAGCAGCCAGACGATGTCTCCAGCTCCATTCCGGTGTTCCGGATCCCTCACCCCGTTCGGTTACCGTGCTGGTGACTACAGAGCTGCCCTGGCTGGCGGTGAAGGTGTTTCCACCCGGTTGGACTCCCTTCTACTCCGCCAGGTCACTGAGGTTTCCTCTCCAAGGCGCAGAGAGATGGATTTGGCCACGGAGGGATCCGGCAGCCGGCCAGGCCCCAACCTCTCCCTCTGGTATATCTTGATGCCAGTTTGTCTAACCTCACCAAGAAGCCCCAGGGCCAGAAGCAATCAAAGCGGGTACAAGAGACCAATATAAACATCACAGCTGATCTAACTACTGAATGGACTCTATTTACGCAAGCAATTTTAATGACCGGGCAATTCTTGGAAGCTGGCTAAGAATTGGAGGGCTACAGGAACGTGAAGTCAACATGCCATTAGGTTTGAACATTTAACTTATTTACAGTTAGCTAGGGGTAGCCTCCCCATCCCCGATGTAGCGAATGACTAATTGTAAATGCTATTGTCTCAGACAGACTTGGTAAGGCTGAGGCACACAGAGGGTCCTTTAAACCACCGCTAAACCTAACGGTTCCTTTGGGCAGCAAGTTCTAGAGACCAGACCCGAGCTCCAAACTTCACAGAATGTTTTTAAAAAGGAAATAGTTGAAGAGGTCTCAAAGGCAGTCAGCCCAGTTAGTCTGGAACACAGGATTCCGGAGCTACAGGACTCTGAGTGCTAAAGCCAGGAGAGTCCCTAAGCAAACTCAGCGCTTACCGCCCTGCATATACCCACCACCCATAGTTAAGGACCACGACTCAATCAGCAAGAGAGCTACAGAGCTGACTCTAAATGTCAACTTCCAAATTGTGCACAGACTATTTGGTCAACAAAAGCTTTTGGGGTCAATAACTTTGGGAAATGCCGCAAACTCCATCAACTCTTCTCAGGGGATCTTCGTACACACCGCCACACCCAAGGCTCTGAGAAATTCTGCAGTGGTGAACACATGTAACGCAGGGCACTCAGTGTGTCCCAAATTTATTTGATCACACAAAGCTTTTTTCACTTAATGGTCATCATCACCCAAGCGTACACACTTCAGGAAATGGGTATCTTATCCACAAAAACGTAAACAACCCGAGGAGGTATGGGGCTTGGATTCTGTAAGCCACGCACACCTATTTCAGAAGTCAACACACTGTTCTTCGTACTCAGCGGAAAGAAACACTGTAAGCTGACCTAAAATAGTGCCATGATTCACATTTACTTTTAATAAGACACATGGGGAAAATGACAAAATCTACACAAGATTTTAAGCTGTGACTGGAACCAGTCAGTACTGGAAAACTGAAGACTTGGACTGGAAGCCCAATCTAAAGGCAATACGCAGATTTTGTATATGAAGGATGTGAGAGAATCATTCATTCAAAAAACATATTAAGCCTGTATACGCCAGGCATTGTTCTCGGCCCATGACAGTAAAAAGAAGATAAACTGACAAGGTCTCCACACACCTGCCCCTTAGGGCATCTGATCTCAGATTTCAGTAAGTGCTGACCAAGCACACTGATTAAAAGTTACAGGGTACAAGGAGGGGAACAGGTTTAGGGGAGGGTGGTGAAGACTTCTCAGAGGAGAAAATATCAAGGCTTAGCCCCAGGGATGAAATGGGTAGGCCAGTAGCATCATGTATAGGGGTTCATGATGAGCAGGGGGATCCCCACATCAAACAGCTCAGAGCACTCACCACAGATGCAAGGGTCCCCCACCCTGTTAAAGTCATTTTAGCACACAGTAGGACCTCTGTGCCCTATGACCACTACCGTGGCTACCAGAAAGCCCACCTGGTAGGACAGGAGTTTCCACCTCACTCTTTGTTTTGTGCTTAGGAAACCTTTATGGTTCCCTTGAAAGCCTGTTTAAACTTACAGACGTCTGGAAAACAAAGCCCGTCTGAAGGCCTCACTCTGCATATTAACAGACCCTGCATGGAGAGCTTGAGGCTTTGACCCCTCCTGGCTTCTCCTCCACAAGATGCTACAGCCTGTGATGTTCAAGCAGGCCAGTGTCAGCAGATGCCCACGGGGATGCTTAAGCCACCACCACTGGAGCACACACTACCGCCCCCAGGAGACAAGCACAGTGCATTCTGGGTAGAAACTTTCCCTCGAAAAGCAACCCGTGACCTCCACCTCTCTGGAGGCTGCAGTGTGGTCCAGAATAGAGGCCACCCAGGGCAGACACTTACCCCTCTGAAATTCCAGGCTTTAGGCGAAGGAAACATGGGAAAGTTGTTTTGCCGCTGCCGTTTAGGTCTAGAAGAGGAGAAAGGACAGGTTCTTTATTCATTGATTAGATGCTCAGAAGAAATCATTGTTTTCAAATGCAGATTTATCAAAAAGAAAGATATCTGAAGCAATGGCTGCCTTGGTTACTTTTCTCTCGTTGCTGAGACAAAATACCTGACACCTGGAATTAAGGCAGGAAAGGTTTATTTAGCTCACAGTCTGTGGAGGTTTCAGTCCATACTCAGCTGGCTCCAGGGCAGAGCGGCACATGGCAGAGGGCAACCGTTCTTGGTGGTGGAAAACCACAAAAGCAACAGGAGCAAATAGGAGGAGTGGCAGCAAGCAGCCTCTTTCCCTCCCTTACACCGTGTGCAAATTACCTGCCCCAGGGCAGCGGGTATAGCACTCACACCCATGATCCCAGCATTGGACCATGAATCAGTCATAAACTCTAGAAGCCAGCCCCATGGCTGCATGAGGCTTTGTGGGGACATCCAGACACAAACCATGACAATGGCGCAGGCAAAGCAGGTGGCTGGAGTGTTCTGCTGTCTTCGGTCTCCGAATTCACTCCCAACTCCATCCCAACCGTCAGGAGGAAAGCCCCTCCAGAAGTCAAATGACTAGTCAACCTCTCCCTCAGAAAAATAGAGCGCAGTCAGCTCTCACTCAGAAAAATAAAACCTAAAGCACAATCTGGATGCGACCAAAGAGTCAGAGTAAATTCCCAACCTTTGTTTTTTGTCACCCACGAGCAGTTCCCAAATGGACACCCCTGGATGCTGTTCCTGGCCTCCACTCTGCCCGGAACGCTCCCTGGTCACACGTTCCCACCAGGGCGCCCCAACACCTCCACAGAGGCCTCACCTGAGCTCCATGCTCGTACAGAGATTATCAGCAGGACCCGCAGCCGCCGCCTAACAAGGTGACCCTGGCCTCCTCTCTGACAACTTCTCAGCGCAAATCAACCTTCCTAGGAGAGGTGCAGGCAGCTTCGGGGTGGGTGAGGGCAGGAGCTCGGGGTGTGCCCCCCCCGAAAAACCCCATTTTTCATTTCCTCAAATGGAATGAAATTCCATAATTGCCAAAATACCGACAAGAACCCCTTCCCAATGTTCTTATGAAGGGGTAAAATCACGCACATACACACCCAAACGTGATGCCTGTCACTGTAGATTCTCAGATCTCAAGCTGACTGAGAAGCACCCCTGAAAAAGGCCCACTTGGGGCTCTCCTGGAGGTCTCAGTCTCCGATGCACCAAAGCCGTGCTGTTAGTTACACAAGCACCACCTCCATCTTCAGCTCTCTGCTGTAATCAGCAATACAGCCGGCAGAAAGCACAGTGACAGGTGGCCAGGCTTTGGAGTATGCTGGACCTGAGTAAAAGTGTTGCTCGGCTCTACCATACAAAAAGAGATAAATAAAATACAAGGTAATTATAGTAATAGCAGCAGCTAATAGGTAATGTATTCTTACAAAAGTATATATTAATATTTAGTAGCTAATCTCATACCCATGTTTACAGTCCATGGCAGTTTATAATAGCTAAATCTTGGAAACAGCCTAAATTCTCATCAACTGATGAATGGATAAAAAAGATGTGATTTTTTTTATGCAATGGAGTACTACTCTGCCGTAAAGAAGGAAAAGCTTGAGACATTTCTAGGTAAATGGACGCACCTTGAGAGCATACTCTTAAGTGAAATAAATCAGACACATGTAAATACCACATTATTTCTCTGGTATAAGAAACTGAAAGTGTAAATAAGGACCAAAATAGATATTAAGTATTGTGAAATAGGAAGAAAATGTTCAAACAGGGAGGAGAATAAGGGAGGGGAAGGAGAACGGAAAGAAGGGAGAATTTTTTAAAAATGAGAAAAGAAGGAAAACATGGAAACAAAGCTTTTGCAAACAGGGAGGGGAGGAAAAGTTGGAGGGAGGGGGGAGAATTGAAGGGGGAGGGGGATGGGAGAAAGAATCAAGTTACATCACGCACAGGTACAGATTCTCCGCGATGCATGTGATCATTATGTATATCTAAAACATACCAGTAAAATCTGATTTGAAAAAACTTAATTTGATCTCATATATAATGTTATAATGGGAAAACAGTTCCAGTGCCCCACCTTGCAGGTGGGATTAAACCAAGGCATAGAGAGGTCCACACTCATGCCAAAGTCACAGGAGCCGCCACGCACCTGGAGCATCTAGAGGGCACGGCGCCCCTCACGTGAGAGAACGCCCCGGACAGGCAGGGTACCCGGAAAGAGCAAGGCCCAGGCTCCTCATGAGAGCGTCCAGCTTAACAGTGCCTTACGCTACTCCGCCTTACAGCCAGGGAAAAGGCGTCAGCGGCCATCTGTCAGCCCACGGCATCCTTGCACAAAGTGGGTCCACCCCTCAGCTGGGGAAGCTGCCCAGAGACCAACCAAGAGATGGGCCCGGCCAGCCCTAGTGTTTAGTCCTAACCCTCTTGCCCTCCACCACCACCCGGGATCTCAAGTCCAAGCGTACGTGCCTGGAATCCAGAACGAGGCCAGCGGCAACAAGCCTCGGGGTTAGCGCAGAAGGTTCCTCGCCACCGTGCGAAAGCCAATGGGACGCTCATCATCCCGAGACGAGGATTAGCAACCGCTTCCAGCGCAGACCTTTAGGCTGCTTCTGCTGTGGGGGCACGTGGGGCTGGACAGTCGCTGCCTCCCTTTCTCTCACGGGGGACTGAAGCAGTTACCCACCTCTCCTCCCTCTGGGGCTCTGCTTTCTTATCTGCAGTGTGGGGACATCCATCCCTTCTTGCAAAATGGAAAGATTAAATTAAATTAAGGTACTACAGGGCCAGGGACATAGCTCAGTAGTGTAGCACCTGCCTGGCAAGCACAAGGTCTTGAGTTCGATTTCTGGTACCTAAATAAATATATAAATAAATAAAGGCACTATATAAAATTCATGGCAGAGAGTCTGGTGCTTAATAGGTACTGAAATTAGCTATTATTATTATTATATTATACTGTTATTCCTGAGAAGGCTCCTTCTTTAACCCAGTGAGGGTGAGCTGTTGACATTATGAAGTTATCCTTACCACTGGTGTATCTGCTATTGTTGGGCCAAAGAAATTTTCATGTGCTTCTTAGAGATTAGATGTAACACAAAGCAAAATACAAGAAAAGCTTCGGCGCGATCTAAGTATTTGTATCGGGTAACAGCATGGCCACACCGTGCACAGGGAGCGATCATGAAGAGAGTCCCCCTCACACTCCCCTCCTGCCTCTGTCCCTCCCGAAGACACGGCCTGAGCCAGCAGGACGTGTGCATTTTAACCTCTGAATGTCTGAGTTCTCAGCCCAGAGCATCTCGCTAACAAAACTTTACCATTCTACTTTTTGTTTTACCTCCTTATATCCACGAGGATAATTATAGCATTACTGGAAAAATCAAGCAGATACACTTTATAAGAGAACACTGCACCAAAGATAGTACCACCAGCTGGGCACAGTGGCGCACGTCTGTAATCCCAGCACTCGGGAGGCTGAGGCAGGAGGATCATTGCGAGTTCAAGGCCAGCCTGGGTTACAAAGTGAGCTCAAGGCCAGCCTGAATGGCATAGTGAGACCCTGTCTCAAAAAGACAGAAAAAGAAAAAAAAGAAAAAAAAAAAAAACCAAGACAGTGCCACCCTGCCGGGCATTTTGGACCACTTGCGAAGGTAATGCCATCTTTCACTTAAGTTTGTAGTCTCTGTTTCCAGGACAGTGGCAGGCGGCAGCCAGGGGAACCCAGCGCTTTGTGGAGCAGCTCACTGTGAAGAGGCGCTTTGCAGGACAGGAAGTGACTCGCTCTGGCCTCTCTGTCTCAGACCAAAGCGCAAGGGCATCGTCACCTGCCAGCGGGTTCTCATCAGACCCCAGGCCAGGCTGCAACTCCAACTTTTTATTTTCTGATAAATTATGGCAAAAAAGAATCAGAACCTCCAAAATGGTCAGCCCGTATGGTGGCTCAGTCACCGGGTGAATCTCCTTTGCAGCAGTCCTGCTGAGAATGAGCCCCGAGAGAGCTTTGCTTTGGGGGAATAAGACTATACTCTACTCAGGAGGATACTATCTTCTATTTGACCATTAATTTAGCCACTAATATTTATTGAGCACCTACTATATGTCAGGCATGGCATCAGACACTGGAAATATAGCAGCAAACAAGGCGAATTCCGTGCCTGCTTTCCTGTCCTCACAATAAGATAATCAGACCAAGCCCCCTTCCCAAATTACAACATGGTAATGAGCTTCTTTAAGCGACCATGCGTGAGCCCAAGGGGTTCAACCTGAGATTGGGGAGCCAGAGAGTACCCCATCTCCACCCGAGGAAATGTGGCCTCGATGAGACCTGACAGAGAAGGAAGCCACCAAGTCACGAGGAAAGGGAAAAGCTGGCCAGGCCAAAGGGAAGCTGCTAGTGAGCAGAGATCAGTGCAAAGCGAGACAGCGGATTCCAGAGGAGACAGCATCAAGAGCTCGGACGCAAAGGGCATCATGACGCCTGTGAAGAAGCGGAAGGAGCCAGCAAGGAAACAGGCTACGTAACGCCCGGGCATTCTCCACAGGAGGTCAGGCAGGACCATGCAGACCGCCGCTGACAGGGGCCGAGCACGGGGCCAGCCGGGGATGGGCAGCACAGCGATGGAAATGAAACTACAGCAGCACTCATCAAAAGCCCGGGCAGGTGGGGAAGGAGGCGAAGAAGCAGGAGGGGAGGCTGGATTGGTCATGGGGCGACGGGGCCAGAGTCACACAGCGGGAGTTCATGATGAGATCTGCCTCCTAGCGAGGCCCCTCGGACGAGGGAGAGCAAAGGAGTAGGGCACCCTGCGTGACAGCAGACGCGGGGAGGCTCCTGCAGGCCTCCGCACCCCGCGGCCCCATCTCACGCGGCACTTCCAAGGTGCTGAACAAAGGGACGCACAAATGTCTCCTTCCTCGTTCTCCACCTGGGGCCAGCTCCTCAGGGAGCAGCACCGTTGCCGTAGAAACATC